TCCTCCTCCTCTTCCTCCTCCCTCCTCCTCCTCCTCCTCCTCCTCCTCCGCTCTGCCCCGCCTCTCGGCGCCTCTGGCGCGCTCCGCGCGCCAGGGAGGGGGGTCCAGGGACAGGGGGGAAGAAGGTGCCAATTTCGGGCCCTCGAAGCCCCTTCTTTGGCCCTAAAGGGCCCCTTCAGGAGCCCCAAAGGGGCTCCTGTTCTTCAGCCCTTGTTGCCCCCCTTAATCGCTCCCTACTCATTCGCGCCCAACGCTCGGCCGACTGAACGCTCGCCGCAACAAGGGAACGGGAAGACTCGAGAGATACCAATGCTGAATAGATCGGTGATTCAGACGCGGCAAGAAAGCGTCAGCATAGTGGAGGCCGCGAGCTGACTCTAGGAGCAATTCGGAAGCCCGCATGTGCGCATTCTGCGAAACAGGTGGGAGCACCGTGCTTGAAGGAACCGCAAACCAAACACGACTGTCCAACACTATCAACCAACTCTGTAGCACTCCAGAAAAAGTGGCGAGTCGAGCTTGCCGTGCCCACAACCGACATGAAGTGTAACAGCCTGTGAACCAGGACAGTCACACCCACATGCACACACACTCACTCACTCACTCACTCACTCACACACACACGAGAACACACGAGGCTGGTGGTCGAAAGTTCATAACGCCAAGTGGAAGCGTTGGGGATATGTTCGGCGATGCCCGTATCAAAACCATTATGTCTTACCATAGCCCAACCTGCGCACACACATGCACGTAATGATGCGCCCATTTAGCTCATGCCATAAGACATAGCCGAGGTAGGACACTTATGATGCGAGACGCTGCCAATGCACATGAGCAAGCAAGCTCCCTTACCAGGAAGTCATGTCAGATCGGTATCGCACGGAAGCCCAGCTGCACCCTACCACGTTCTTCCCCGTCCTCCCTCGGCTGCTTCTTCGCCATCCTCGCCCCTCTACTCAGCGGAGAGCCCAGGGGGGAGCCAGAAGGGGCGGACCTTCTCAGAAGGCTCGGTAGTCCACCAACGCCTTCCGAACAACAATTCTGAGGCTTCCCCGGTGACACCGACAACTTCCCGGAAGGCCCGACATATTCTAAGAAGCCCCGCTGCCTACTGAGAAGGCCCTCTCTTTCTCGCTTCCCCCCTCGCTCGCTGCCAATCTGCTCTGAGGAGGGCAGCGTCCTGTACACGGCGGCCTGGTCCGCGTACCCTGGATGCTCGGAGTTGCTTGAGTCGAACGCGAAATCGCACCTGCACGCGCGTCTGGCGTGATGGGCCGATTTTCCACCACCACTACCGTGGGTAGGAAAGGGATGAGGAGGAGAAGGAGGAGGAGGAGGCGGATGATGATGCTGCTGCTGATGATGCTGCTGATGATGCTGATGACGATGATGCTGATGCTGCTGCTGCTGATGCTGCGGATGCTGATTATGCTGATGATGATGGGGCGGAGGAGGAGGAGGAGGTGGATGAGGAGGAGGGAAGGCGATGCGGATGAGGAGGACGAGGAAGATGCTGATGCGGATGCTGATGCTGACAATGACGATGATGATGATGATGATGATGAGGATGATGATGATGAAAATGATGACGATGATGCTGCTGCTGATGATGATGATGAAGATTTTGAGGAGGATGCGGAGGAAGACAAGAAGGAGGAGGAGAAACCATGAGGGGGGGGGAGGAGGTGGAGGAGGAGTAGGAGAAGGAGGAGGAGGATGAGGAGGAGGGAGAGGAGCAGGAGGAGAAGGGAGGAGGAGGAAAAGGAGGAGGAGGAGGAGTAGGAGAAGGAGGAAGAGGAAGAGGAAGAGGAGGAGGAGGAGGAGGAGGAGGAAGATGAATAGGAGGAGGAGGAGAAGAAAGGAGTGGGAGGATAGAGGAGAGGGGGGGGGAGGAGGAGGAGGAGGTTGGGAGGGGGGAAGGATGATGATGATGTGAGGAGGAGGGCGTATGGAGGAGAAGAATGAGGAGGAGGAGGTGGAGGAGGAGGATGAGGGGAGGAGGAGGAGAAGAGGATGAGGATGCTGCTGCGGTGATGAATGACGCGATGATGATGATAATGATGATGATGACGACGATGTGTTGGTGATGTGTGATGGTGATGATGATGATGATGTCTTAGGAGGAGGAGGGAGGAGGAGAGGGGGGAGGAGGAGGAGGAGAAGGAGGAGGAGGAGGAGGAGGAGGAGGAGGAGATGGAGAAGGAAGATGAGGAGACGGAAGTGGAGGATGAGGAAGAGGAGGAAGAGGAGGAGCAGGAGGAGAAGGATCAGGAGAAGGACGAGGAGGATGAGGAGGATGAGGGGGAGGATGATGATGAGGAGGATGAGGATGGGGAGGAGGAGGAGAAGGAGTCAGGAGGAGGAAGAGGAAACGGAGCAAAATGATGCGGATGATGATGAGGAGGAGGAAGAGGAGGAAGAGGATGGGGGGGGGAGGCGGAGGATGAGGAGGACGAGGAGGCGGAGGAGAAGGATGCCGAGGAAGAGGGTGAGGAGGAGGCGGAGGATGATGAGGAGGAAGAGGAAGAGGAAGAGGAAGAGGAGGATGATAATGAAGAGGATGAGGAGGATGAGGACGAGGAGGAGAAGGATGGGGATGAGGAGGATGATGAGGATGCGGAAGAGGATGATGACGAGGAGGATGACGAGGAAGAGGAAACGGAGGAGGATGCTGATGCTCATGCTGATGCTGATGCTGATGATGATGCTGCTGCTGCTGCTGATGATGATGATGATTATGATGATGATGACGAGGGCGATGATGATGAGGAAGAGAAGGACGCGGATAAGGACGAGGAGAAGGAGGATACGGCGGATCAGGAGGTGGAGGAAGATGCGGATGAGCATGAGGAGGGGGGATGAGGAGGAGGAGGAGGATGAGGAGGAGGAGGAGGCGGGGGAGGATGAGCAAGACAGGGAGGAAGAGACTGATGTTGAGGATGATGAAGCGGATGATAAGAAGAGTTGGAAGAAAAAGAAGAAGACACGGACCACGAGGAATAAGAAGATGACACGATGATACGGAAGATGATGCGGATGAGGATGACGAGGATTATGAGGCACAGGAGGAGGATGGGAATGCTGAATATGAGGATGATGAGAGACATGAATGGAGGAGAAGGCGGACAAGGAGGATGAGGAGGACGATGATGATGAGGAGGACGACGATGGTGATGCTGCTGCTGCTGCTGCTGATGATGATGATGATGACGATGGAGATGAGGAGGAGGAACATGAGGAGGCGGATGAGGAGGGGGAGGAAGATGTGGATGAGGAGGAGTGTGAGGAGGAGGATGAGGTGGAGGAGGATGAGGATGAGGATGGGAAGGCGGAGGAGGAGGAGGCGGAGTATGACGATGATGATGATGATGAGGAAGACGATGACGATGAGGATGGTGATGCTGATAATGATGCTGATGCTGATGATGATGCTGCTGATTAGGCTGATGATGCTGATGATGATGAGGATGATGAGGATGAGGATGAAGAGGAGGCGAATGATGAAAAGGAGGAGGAGGATGCGACTGGGGAGAACGAGGCGGATGAGGAGGAAGAGGAGGCGGAGGAGGAGGACGAAGATTATGAAGAGGAGGATGATGATGAGGATGATGCGGATGGGGGACGAGGAGGATGAGGATGAGGACGAGGAGGAGGACGAGGAGGATACGGAGGATGCGGATGAGGAGGATGAGGAGAAGGAGGAGGTGGAGCAAGAGCAGGAGAGGAAAGGTGAAGCCACGACGGGGGAACATGAGAAGGAGGAGGATGGGGAGGAATATGAAGAGAATGATAGGGAGGATGAGGAGGCGTCGGAGGAGGATCAAGCGGATGAAGAGGAGGAGGATGAGAAGGAGGGATGAGGAGGATGAGGATGTAGAGGAGGAGAGGAGGAGGAGGAGGAGGAGGAGGAGGAGGAGGAGGAGGAGGAGGAGGAGGAGGAGGAGGTGGAGGAGGAGGAGGAGGAGGAGGGGGGAGATGATGCGGAGGAGGAGGATGATGAGGAACTCGAGGAAGCGAGGCGGATGATGAGGAGGAGGAGGTGCAGGAGGAGGAGCAGGATGAAGAGACGGATGAGAAGAAGGAAGTGGAGTAGGATGATGAGGAGGACCAGGAGGAGGATGAGGCTGAGGAGGAGGAGGAGGAGGAGGAGGAGGAGGAGGATGAGGAGAGGAGGATGGGGATGGAGATGAGGATGGGGATGTTGATGCTGATGATGATGAGGAGGAGGACGATGAGGAGGAGAAAGAGGATGATGAGGCGGAGGAGGAGGATGAGGAGGAGGAGGAGGATGAGAAAGATGATGAGAGGAATGCTGATGCTGCCGATGACGATACTGATGCTGATTCTGATGATGCTGATGATGATCACGAGGATGATGCTGCTGCTGATGATGCTGATGCTGACACTGATGATGATGCTGCTGCTGCTGCTGCTGATGATGATTATGCTTATGATAATGATGATGCTGATGTTGATGATGCTGATGATGCTGATTATGCTGATGATGATGGGGCGGAGGAGGAGGAGGGAAGGCGATGCGGATGAGGAGGACGAGGAAGAGGAGGAGGAAATGGAGGAGGAGGATGCGGATGAGGCGGAGGATGATGCAGATGAGGAGGAAGGAAAGGATGTGGTGGAGGAGGAAGAGACGGAGGATGAGGAGGATACGGAGGAGACGGAGGAGGATGATGATGATGAGGAGGAATCAATACGAGGAGGCGGATGATGCCGATGCTGATGATGATGCTGCTGATGATGAGGAGGAGTAGGATGAGGAGGATGAGGAGAAGAAGGAGGAAGGCGAGGAGGAGGAGGATGAAGAAGTACGAGGAGGAGGATGATGAGGACTAAGAGGCGGAGGAGGAGCAGGATGATGATGATAATCAGGAGGAGGAGCAGGATGATGATGATGATGATGATGATGATGATGATGATGATGATGATGATGATGAGGAGGAGGAGGAGGAGGAGGAGGAGGAGGAAGGAGGAGAGGAGGAGGCAGGGGAGGGTGATGAGGCGGAGGAGGAGGAGGAGGAGGAGGAGGATGAGGGCGGATGAGGGAGGAGGAGGAGGAGGAGGAGGCGGAGGAGGAGGAGGAAGAGGAAGAGGAAAGAGGAAGGAGGATGATAATGATGATGATGATGGATGATGCTGCTGATGCTGATTGATGATGATGATTGATGCCGATGAGGAGGAGGAGGAGGGGAGGAGATGAGGAGAGGTGGACGGGAGGAGGAGGAAGACGAGAGGAGGAGGATGCGGAGGAGGAGGATAAGGAGGGAGGAGGAGGAGGAGGAGGAGGAGGAGTGGAGGAGGAGGAGGAGGAGGAGGAGGAGGAGGAGGAGGAGGAGGAGGAGGCGGAGGAGGAGGAGGAGGAGGAGGAGGAGGAGTAGGAGGGGAGGAGGATGAGGAGGAGGAAGAAGGAGGATGAGGAGGAGAGAGGAGGAGGAGGAGGAGGAGGAAGAGAGGGGGGAAGGGGGAGGGCAAAACGCTTCCTGGGAACGAAGAAGGGGAAAGAGCAGAGATAGGATGAGGAGGAGAGCAGCAGCGTCTGGATGCAAGAAACCGCGGCTAGTCAGCATGGCCTTTGGGGGCGCAAGCCGCGGCTTTGCCGGACGCAAGAGCGCACTGGAGGCATCCTACATGGGGTGCGAGTAGACGGGGTCGGAGGATCGCACCAAATCGCCGATGCATCACCGATGCACCGGCGATGCATCACCGATGCACCGACTGCGCATCGTCGATGTTGGCGGTGCACCGGCGACGTCTACGTGAGGCAAATCGGGCCCCACATCGAGCCGCATCGGTAATGCATCGGCGAGGCGGCGCGATGCTCCGACCCCATCGACTCCGACCCCATCTAGGAGGCCTATAGACGCACGGAGCCCTACGCATGATGAGCGCGACCTCGAAGCATCCCAGGATCTCAAGCCACTGCAGCGTTTGGGTGCCCAGGGGGAGGCAAAGGGCCCCCGGCCCCCAAAGGGGGGCAGCCAACAGCTCTCCGGCGCCCCCTGGCGCCCGTCCGGGCACCCCCGGAGGCGCCTCGGCGAGGCGCAGCTTCTGGAGAGCACCCCGAGCGCACGGGTGCTAAGCTCTCGAAGGTACGCGCCGCTTTTCTGGAATCGGCGCCAGCACGCTCTGCTCCGCGCGCGGAGCGCGCCAGAGGAGCGCGCCAGAGGCGCCGCCAGGGGCCTTGAAAGCGCAGATCCAAGGAACCCGCGCGCGGACCCCCGCAAGCTCGTGTGCCGTGCTGCTTGTCTTGGGGGAACCAAGAGGTGCCGATGTACGGCTCCTGCCCGGACCTCTCCCGGGGTGCGTTCTGACCTGATTTTTTCAAGGCGAATCCAGCGGTGGGGACGAGGGCCTCCCAGGAGGCCCAGAAAGGCGCACACGAGGGCAGGGTAGTGGTATGGGTGCCTTTTCCTCCTCCGAGCTGTTCTTCTTCGAGAGGGGGGACCAGAGCGGGGGTGAGATGCAACATCAGGGGGGGAGGGGGAATAGCTCATGGGGAGACCCTGGAAATCGTGGATTGCAGCATGTCGTGACCTCTTGCGCCTCCGAATCAAGTCCTCCCCCTCCCCTGAGCCTGTTTCCCCCCCGCCCCCCGCAACCCGCAACGCGGTCCCCCAGACGCTCGGCGCCTCAATGTCTTCGATGAGAGGACCCCCGAAGGGAAAACGCTGGAGTGAGCTTCTTGGGGTGCGTAAGGATGCAGGACCGCAGAGGAGGAGGAGGAGGAGGAGGAGGAGGAGGAGGAGGAGGAGGAGGAGGAGGAGGAGGAGGAGGAGCAGGAGGAGGAGGAGGAGGAGGAGGAGGAGGAGGAGGAGGAGGAGGAGGAGGAGGAGGAGCTGATGGGCACAGGCCGCGCCGCCCCTGTCGCTCCACAGGAGCGCCGCGACGGGCGCGAGGGCCGCAGAGCGGGCGGCCCGAGGCCCCCCCCCCCCGCCCCCCAGCCCTGCGCCCTTCGGGCCCGCCCTGGGCGCCCCCCTGGGCGACTGGGGCCGCGCGGGGGCCTGTCGGGCCTGCCCCCGCGCCCCGAGCAGCTCGAGGCGGAGGCGCTCCGCGGCGCCTGGCCTGGCTGGGGCCCTCGCCGAGTCCCGAGGGGGCCGCGGGCAACACGGACTCGGGATGCCGAGCTGGCCCCAGGAAGATCGAGCAGGGACCGACCGTCCCAGTATGTCTATAGGCCTACCACGTAATTATCTTGGAACCCAAACGTGTTCTAAGACCAAGAGCAATGTTCTCAGAACATGAACCCGATGTGTTAAAACAAGACAGACCCAGCCAGACATATTCTAAGAACATTTCCTGCAAACCAAACACGGTTCTTAGAACATTCTTTGGTATGCCTATAGGCGAGCCAGGACGCTTCGCCACTGCAAGAAGGTCCAGACCTCCGGGGGGGCCTGCATGGAGAAAGTCAAAAAAGGCAGCATCGGGGGCCTGGGCGGGGGCCACGTCCCGAGGGAAACTGCGCGGCGACCAGAAAACAGACATACGACGCCGTTCCTGCCGCTGGAGGGCCGCATCGCGTCGGCAAGGGGCGGCATGGGTTCGGCGCCGCGCCGGCGATGTCCCGCACCTGCCCTGGCAACAAACGGCACGCGCTCTGTTTATACGAACGCCGTCCTTCGCTTCAGGCTGCGGCGGGAAATGCGTTGGCGACCGTCTCCTCGGCCGCGGCGCTGCTGAGCGGGCGGCCCCCCGGCAGGATCGCCTCGACGCGCCAGGCTCCGGGGCCCAGCCTGCCCGCGCGGTGCTCCGCCACGAGCTGGAGGTGGATGTCTGCGAGGCGGGCGGTGGGCGCCGCCCTGATCCTGCATCGCTCCACCCCGCCGATGGTCGCGAAAACCAGTGAGCCGCCATCGAGCGACACCTGCAGGAGCAGCGCTGGAAGCAAATGAACTGTGTAGGTCAGGCCCGCGGGCAGCGCCGGGAGGTCGCACTGACCATGAATCCAGCCGCAGGCCACGGCGGTGCCGTCGCTCCTGAGCAGCACCGTGTGGATCCCTCCAGCAGCGACCTGCGTGTAGGTCAGGCCCGCGGGCAGCGCCGGGAGGTCGCACTGACCATACTGGTTCCAGCCGCAGGCCACGACAGTGCCGTCGCTCCTGAGCAGCACCGTGTGGCCATATGCAGCGGCGACCTGCGTGTAGGTCAGGCACGCGGGCAGCGCCGGGAGGTCGCACTGACCAGCACGATTGTCGCCGCAGGCCACGGCGGTGCCGTCGCTCCTGAGCAGCACCGTGTGGTGGTTCCTTCCAGTGGCGACCTGCGTGTAGGTCAGGCTCGCGGGCAGCGCCGGGAGGTCGCACTGACCAGCATGATTGCCGCCGCAGGCCACGGCGGTGCCGTCGCTCCTGAGCAGCACCATGTGGCTCCCTCCAGCGGCGACCTGCGTGTAGGTCAGGCCCGCGGGCTGCGCCGGGAGGTCGCACTGACCAGCACGATTGTCGCCGCAGGCCACGGCGGTGCCGTCGCTCCTGAGTAGCACCGCGTGCTGCTCTCCAGCGGCGACCTGCGTGTAGGTCAGGCCCGCGGGCAGCGCCGGGAGGTCGCACTGACCACAAAAATTGCTGCCGCAAGCCACGGCGGTGCCGTCGCTCCTGAGCAGCACCGTGTGGCTCCCTCCAGCGGCGACCTGCGTGTAGGTCAGGCCCGCGGGCAGCGCCGGGAGGTCGCACTGACCATCATGATTGTCGCCGCAGGCCACGGCGGTGCCGTCGCTCCTGAGCAGCACCGCGTGGCTCCCTCCAGCGGCCAGCATCTGCGGGCGAGCCCGCCGGGAGCCGCTCGACGCGGCGCGGCGCGGGCGGGACAGGCTCGAGCCGAGAGCGGGCCGCGCGAGGGGCCGGCGGGGGCGGCCAAGGAGGCCGAGGGCGGGCCGAGAGGCGGGCCTGCCTGGAGGGGCCGAGGGTCCTCGCTCCCTCCCTCCTCCCCCCCCGAGCCACCTTCCCTCCCTCCTCCCTCCCTCCTCCCTCCCTCCTCCCTCCCCCTCCCCCCTCCCTCCTCCCTCCTTCCCTGCTCCAGAAACGGCGCAGGGAGACGGGCGCAAGCAAAGACAAGTTCACGGGTTCACAGCCCGGCCCGTCTTTTCTGGAGCTTCGTCTGCCCCGCCACTTGCCGTACTTTCCGGGGGCTCGACGCGCGCGCGCGTCTGCGCACGACGAGGTTCCCCGGAGGCTCGGCGACCCTCGCTGGGCCCTCGGCCTGCCCGGCGCGTCGCGGGGGGGAGGGCCGGGGAGCGGGGCGTGGAGTTGACAAAACCGTGTGTGCGTACCACCTCGTTTTGCTGCGTTGCATCGCCATCACCAGCATCATCATCCTTGTAATCAATTTGTAATCCGCCACAAAAGAAATCCATTTCAAATCCGCCACAAAAATAATCAATTTGAAACCCGCCACAAACACAATTGATTTGTAATTCGCCACAGAAGGGATCTATTTGTAATCCGACACAAAAGGAATCACTGTATATTTTGCCACAAAAGGAATCAATTCGTAATCCGCCACAAAAGAAAACCTTCTGTAGGGAGGGGGTGTAAATGGTGGGCCAATCGCTACTAGGATTCTATGAGATGTGGATCCATCTCTCATCGGGTTCTATTAAAGGTGGAAGTATCTGGAATGGGATGATCTTAGAGGTGGATCCATCGCTAATAGGACCCCACTAGAGGTGGATCCATCTCATATAGGATTCCATTACAGGTGAATCCATGTCTAATCGGATCCCATTATAGGTGGACCCATCTCTAATAATATTCAATTAGAGGTGGATCCATATGTAATAGGATTTTGTTAGGAAGGTGAATCCATGTGTAGCAGGATTTTATTAAAAGGTGGACCCATCTCTGTTAGGATTCCATTTGGAGCGGATCGATATGTAAAAGACTTTCAGTTGAGATGGGCCCATCTCTCATAGGATTCCATCAATTGTGGATCCAGCTGTAGTCGGATTCCATTAGAGATGTATCCATCTGTACCAGGATTCTAGTAGATGTGGATCCATCTGTAATAGGATTCCATCAGAGGTGGACCCATCTGTATCAGGATTCTGGTAGGATTGAATTGGGGGTGGACCCGTTTGTTTTACGATCCTATTAGAGGTAGGTCCATATGTAATAGTATTCTATTAGAGGTGGATTCATGCCATGTAGGACCCCATCAGAGGTAGGTGGACCCATCCCTAATAGGATTCTCTCAGAGGTGGACCCATATGTAATAGGATTATATTAGAGGTGGGTCCATCTGTCATAGGGTTCTGTTAGAGATGGATCCATCCGCACTAGGATTCCATTAGATCCATCTCTAATCAGATACTACTAGAGGCGGGTCCATCCTTAATAGGATCCCATTCGAGGTGGATCCATTTGTCACAGGATTCTGTTAGAGGTGGACCAATCTCTAATAGCATGCCATTGGGGATGGAACCATCTTATTAGGATTCTATTAGAGGTGGATCCATATGTAATTGGAGTCCATTAGAGGTGTATCCATGTCTAACTTGATTTTATCAGAGGTGGATCCATCGTTAATAAAATTATATTCGAGGTGGACGCATATGTAATGGGGTTCTATCAGACGTGGGTTCATGTGTAAAAGGATTATATTAGAGGTGGGTCCATCCGTACCAGGATTCCATTCGAGGTGGATCCATCTCTGATGTGATGCCATTAGTTGTGGACCCATCTCTAATGGGATTCTATTAGAGGCGGATCCATATGTCATAAGATTATATTTAAGGTGGTTCCATCTGTAGTGGGATCTTATCAGGGGTGGATCCATTCCTAATCGGATTCTATGGAAGGTGGATCCATATGTAATAGGATTCTATCGGAAGTGGATCCATCTGTAGTACGATTCTATGAGAGGTGGGTGTCTTTTGTGATGACGATGATGATGATGACGAGCATGTGTTTCAAGATGCTGCTGACGATGATGATGATGACGAGCATGTGTTTCAAGATGTTGCTGATGATGATGGTGATGACGAGCATGTGTTTCAATGCGCTGCTGATGACGATGGTGATGACGAGCATGTGTTTCAAGATGCTGCTGATGACGATGGTGTTGACGAGCATGTGTTTCAAGATGCTGCTGATGACGATGGTGCTGACCAGCATGTGTTTCAAGATGCTGCTGATGACGATGATGATGATGACGAGTATGTGTCTCAAGATGCTGCCCTTGACGATGGTAACGACGAGCATGTATTGCAAGATGCTGCTGATGACGATCATGATGATGAGTATGTGTTTCAAGATTCTGCTGATGACGGTGGTGATGACGAGCATGCGTTTCAAGATGTTGCTGATGATGATGGTGATGACGAGATGCGTTGGGAGCAATGCGTCAATGCGTTGTCATAATGAGTTCCACAGAGCATAATCGAGTGGGAAGCACAGCCCACCAGACTAAAGTTATCCTCTCTTTACCCTTCTTCCTCCTCCTCCTCCTCCGCCTCCACCTCCGTCTCTTCCTCCTCGCCCCTCTTACTTCCAGTGGGTGAGCGCCGAAGCGCGTTCCAGAGAGATTAATAAGCCTTAATATCTCGATTCTCTGGCCTCCGGAGGCCCGAAACAAACATTAGCGGATTACACATTGATTTCTTTTGTTGTTGAATTACAAAAGGGAACCCTTTTGTGGTGAACTACACATTGTTTTATTTTGTGGCAGATTACAAAAGGATTCCTTTTGTGAAGAATTGCAAAAGGACTTCTTTCGTGGAGGATCACATGATGATTCCTTTTTGTGGCGAATTACACAAGGGAATCCTTCTGTGGTGAATTACTCAAGGATCTCTTTCGTGGAGGATTACAAAAGGGATTCCCTTTGGTGGAGGAATACAATGGGATTCCTTTTGTGGAGGATTACAAAAGGATTCCTTTTGTGGAGGATTACAAAAGGATCCTTTTGTGGAGGATTACAAAGGGATTCCCTTTGGTGGAGGAATACAAAGGGATTCCCTTTGTGGAGGATTACACATTGATTTCCTTTGAGGGCTCTCCTGGAAGTGAACCAGGGGACAAAAGAAAAAAAACAAAAAATCAGAAAATCATTGAAAATTAAGAGAATTGCAAGTTTTCACTGATTTTCCAATGTTTTGAAGCAAGAACATATAAAAACACAGCATTTCCAAGGTATTGAGGCCGAAACCATATGAAAACACATCATTTTTGCATTCGGATTGTGAAAATGTTTTTTTTTTTTTTTTTTTTTTTGCTTCAAAGCATTGGAGAATCAGCGAAAACATGCAATTTTTCATCTAATTTTCAATGATTTGTGTTTTTTTTTTTTTTTTTTTTTTTTTGTCCCCTGGTTTCACTTTCCAGGAAAGCACTCAAAGGAAATCAATTTCGTAATCCTCCTAAGAAGAATCCTTGTTATTCCTCTGTCCAGTTGTAGCCCTTTGTAATCCTCCACAAAGGGGATCCTTTTGTAATCCTCCACAAAAGGAATCCTTTTGTAATCCGCCACAAAAAGAAACAATTTGCAATTCACCATGAACAGAATTCCCTTTTAATTACCAACAAAAGAACTCAATTTAAAATGTGCTACAACAGGAATCGTTCTGCATTCCACTACTTTGAGCAATCCCTTTAAAGATGACGAAAAGCATCATAAACAGGAAAGCAAGCACATCAAAAGTAATAGACCAAAAACCGAGGTGGTACACACACACACACACGGTTTTATCAACCTTACGGGGGGGGCCCCGCGCCCCCTCCCTGCGAGGCCTCCGCCTCGATCGGGTGGGCGCCGCGGGCAGCAGTGGCCTCGACACTTGTGGGTGGATCGCGCGGCCCTGTCGCGGTCGTCGGCCTTCCAGAGGGCGCAGGTCGATTCGGGCCCCGCCTGCTTTGCTTGCTGGGGGGGGGGGGGGCGATCGTGCGGTGGGTGGGGAGGGGGGGGGGGAGGGCGAGGAGACGCGCGCTCCCGCCGTGCCCCTCGGGCCCCGCGGGTGGCCCCCTCCAGGGCCGCGAGGGCGTGGCGCCTGGTCTTTTTCTCCCCCCCCCCCTCCTTCAATTCGCCCCCCGCCCATGACGCAACGCCCGATGCGTTCGATGTCGGCGGAGGCCGGGCCGCGTCCAACGTTCGACCTTGAACGCCTGCGCTGGAGTCGCCGCCGCGTCGGCACGACGAGAGCGCGTCGTGAACCGCTGACGCGGTACGAAAGGGGGTAGCAGAGTCAAGGGCTCAGGAGGGTACTCTGGGCGGCAGAGGCTTCCGAGGGGCTACCAAAGCGGCCGCGTCCATCCTGGCCGTCAGCAAGCCCGGCGCTCCTCGCAGCGGTGCTTCCCGCAGAGCTCGGCGCCGCAGCAAGAGCCGAGACGCGCAGCGTGCTCCTTCTGCCCCTGGAGAGGCGCGACCCAGGACGACAGACTGGCCCCGGGGGAACGGGGGCACGGTGGCCTCTGATGTGTCTTAAGTGCTCCCGATGTCTTCAGAGGTCAGCTGGTGCCTTGGAGGACCGGAGGGGGGGCAATATTGGAGGCATGCAGGAGGGATGCCGAGAGTCGAGGGAGATGCAACGGTGCCTTGCTCTAAAGCCGCACCCTCAGCGCCGAGGTTGAGTGTGCAGGCGGCAAGGGGAGGAGGGCACTGGGAGGGGGGAAGGGGGAGGGAAACGCTTTCTGGGACAAAGAAGGGGAAGAGAAGGAGGAGGATGGAGGAGGAGCAGCAGCGTCTGGATGCAAGAAACCTTGGCTAGTCAGCATGGCCTTTGGGGGGCGCAAGCAGCGCCCGGACGCAAGAGCGCACTGGAGGCATCCTACATGGGGTGCGAGTAGACGGGGTCGGAGGATCGCACCAAATCGCCGATGCATCACCGATGCACCGGCGATGCATCACCGATGCACCGACTGCGCATCGTCGATGTTGGCGGTGCACCGGCGACGTCTACGTGAGGCAAATCGGGCCCCACATCGAGCCGCATCGGTAATGCATCGGCGAGGCGGCGCGATGCTCCGACCCCATCGACTCCGACCCCATCTAGGAGGCCTATAGACGCACGGAGCCCTACGCATGATGAGCGCGACCTCGAAGCATCCCAGGATCTCAAGCCACTGCAGCGTTTGGGTGCCCAGGGGGAGGCAAAGGGCCCCCGGCCCCCGGAGGGGGGCGGCCAACGGCTCTCCGGCGCCCCGCCTGGGCACCCCCGGAAACGCCTCGGCGAGGCGCAGCTTCTGAGAGCACCCCGAGCGCACGGGCGCTAAGCTCTCGAGAGTATGCGCGCCGCTGTCCTGGAAGCGGCGCCGGAACACTCTGCTCCGCGCCAGAGGAGCGCGCCGGAGGAGCGCGCCAGAGGCGCCGCCAGGGGCCGTGATGCAAGCGCAGATCCAAGGAAGCCGCGCGCGGACCCCCGCAAGCTCGTGTGCCGTGCTGCTTGTCTTGGGGGAGCCAGGAGGTGCCGATATGCGGCTACTGCCCGGACCTCTCCCGGGGTGCGTTGTGACCTGATGTTTTCAAAGCGAATCCAGCGGTGGGGACGAGGGCCTCCCAGGAGGCCCAGAAAGGCGCACACGAGGGCAGGGTAGCGGTGTGGGTGCCTTTTCCTCCTCCGAGCTGTTCTTCTTGGAGAGCGGGGATCAGAGCGGGGGGGTGAGAGGCAACATCAGCGGGGGAGGGGGAAGAGCTCAGGGGAGACCCTGGAAATCGTGATTGCAGATGTCGTGACCTTCTTGCGCCTCGATCAAGTTCCTCCCCTTCCCCGAGCCGCTTCCCCCCGCCCCCCGCCCGATGCAAACGGCGGTCCGCCAGAGCGCCGGCGCCCCTCGATGTCTTCGATGAGAGGACCCCACGAAGAGGAATCGCCTGGGGGAGCTTTTGGGGTGCGTAGGGATGCAGGGACCGACAGAGGAGTGAGGAGGAGGAGGAGGAGGAGGAGGAGGAGGAGGATGGAGGAGGAGGAGGAGAGGAGGGGAGGAGGAGGAGGAGGAGGAGGAGGAGGAGGAGGAGGAGGAGGAGGAGCTGATGGGCACAGGCCGCCGCGCCGCCCCTGTCGCTCCACAGGAGCGCCGCGACTGGCGCGAAGGCCGCAGAGCGGGCGGCCCGAGGCCCCCCCCCCCGCCCCCCAGCCCTGCGCCCTTCGGGCCCGCCCTGGGCGCCCCCCTGGGCGACTTGGGCCTCGCGGGGGCCTGTCGGGCCTGCCCCCGCGCCCCGAGCAGCTCGAGGCGGAGGCGCTCCGCGGCGCCTGGCCTGGCTGGGGCCCTCGCCGAGTCCCGGGGGGGCCGCGGGCAACACGGACGATGCCGAGCTGGCCCCAGGAAGATCGAGCAGGGACCGACCGTCCCAGCATTTCTGTAGGCCTACCACGAAATTATCTTGGAACCTAAACATGTTCTAAGACCAAGAGCAATGTTCTTAGAACATGAACCCGATGTGTTAGAACAAGACAGACCCAGCCAGACATATTCTAAGAACATTTCGTGCAAACCAAACAAGGTTCTTAGAACATTCTTTGGTATGCCTATAGGCGAGCCAAGACGCTTCGCCACTGCAAGAAGGTCCAGACCTCCGGGGGGGCCCGCATGGAGAAAGTCAACAAAGGCAGCATCGGGCATTCGGGGGCCGTGGGCGGGGGGCCCGTCCCGAGGGATATACTGCGCACCGACCAGAAAAAAACAGGACGATTACGACGCCCGTTTTCCTGCCGCTGGAGGGCCGCATCGCGTCCCGGCAAGGGATGTGCACGCGGTTCGGGCTCGCTGCCGGCTATGTCGCGCACCTGGCCCTGGCAACAAAACGCACGCGCCTGTTTATACGAACGCCGCCCTTCGCTTCAGGTGCGGCGGGAAATGCCGTTGGGCGACAGTCTCCTCCGGCCGCACGGCGCTTTCTGAGCGGGGGCCCCCCGGCAGGATCGCCTCGACGCGCCAGCTCCAGGGCACAGCCTGCCCGCGCGGTGCTCGGCCACGAGCTGGAGGCTCCCTGGATGTCCTGACGAGGCGGGCGGTGGGCGCCGCCCTGATCCTGCATCGCTCCACCCCGCCGATGGTCACGAAAACCAGTGAGCCGCCATCGAGCGACACCTGCAGGAGCAGCGCTGGAAGCAAATGAACTGTGAAGGTCAGGCCCGCGGACAGCGCCAGGAGGTCGCACTGACCATGAATCCAGCCGCAGGCCACGGCGGTGCCGTCGCTCCTGAGCAGCACCGTGTGGATCCCTCCAGCGGCAACCTGCGTGTAGGTCAGGCCCGCGGGCAGCGCCGGGAGGTCGCACTGACCATACTGGTTCCAGCCGCAGGCCACGACGGTGCCGTCGCTTCTGAGCAGCACCGTGTGGCCATGTGCAGCGGCGACCTGCGTGTAGGTCAGGCACGCAGGCAGCGCTGGGAGGTCGCACTGACCAGCACGATTGTCGCCGCAGGCCACGGCGGTGCCGTCGCTCCTGAGCAGCACCGTGTGGCGCCATCCAGCGGCGACCTGCGTGTAGGTCAGGCCCGCGGGCAGCGCCGGGAGGTCGCTCTGACCATCAGCATTCCAGCCGCAGGCCACGGCGGTGCCGTCGCTCCTGAGCAGCACCGTGTGGCGCCCTCCAGCGGCGACCTGCGTGTAGGTCAGGCCCGCGGGCAGCGCCGGGAGGTCGCACTGACCAAAATCATTGCTGCCGCGGGCCACGGCGGTGCCGTCGCTCCTGAGCAGCACCGTGTGGGGCCATCCAGCGGCGACCTGACTGTAGGTCAGGCCCGCGGGCAGCGCCGGGAGGTCGCACCGACCATCAGCATTGCTGCCGCGGGCCACGGCGGTGCCGTCGCTCCTGAGCAGCACCGTGTGGCACCCTCCAGCGGCGACCTGACTGTAGGTCAGGCCCGCGGGCAGCGCCGGGAGGTCGCACTGACCAGCATGATTGTCGCCGCGGGCCACGGCGGTGCCGTCGCTCCTGAGCAGCACCGTGTGGCCATCTCCAGCGGCCAGCATCTGCAGCAAACGAGGGAAGGGTAGCGGCGTGGGTACCTTGTCCTCCTCTGAGCCAGCGCGGAACGCTGCAGTGGAAGCGAGGGCGCGTACGCGCGACCTGGCGCGTGCAGCTTGCGCGCGGATGCCCGGGCAGACTGCCCCGTCTCTCCCTCTCCACGGAGCCTGGGCCCCTCGAGCCGCGGTCCCGAGAGAGAGGCCCGGGGGCCTGCCCCGAGGTCCGACGCTGGAAGATAGAGGCAACATCGCGGACCGTCGCGACCAGAGCCCGGCGGGGAGCGAGGGGCGGAAGTGAGGAGGAGGTGGCCTTCTCAGAAGGCGGCGGGATTTCTCAGGAGCCCTCGCGCCTTCCGGGAAGCTTTCTGTGCCTTCGGGGGAGGCTTCGGAAACATACCATCAGGCTGGGGGACTTCCGAACCTTTTGAGAAGGCCTCCTCCTTCTCACTTCCCCCCTCGCTCGCCGCGGGAAAATAGATGCACCATCGCAAACAGTCGCGACCAGAGCCCTGGACTTATGTTACTCCCATCGTACTTAAGGACCATACCCCAGAAATGTGCTGTCGAGCACCCAGGCAAGTATCGAGACAGTGTCTGCCCGACACGCTGGCGAAATGTCGAACGAGTATCGCCTGCCAGGGCCCGACACGTGAACACCCTCCGGTGTCGGCATTTTCATGGCGCTCGAAATTCGCTCTGGCGGTCAAGGCTGAAGTGTGTTGGAACATCTTCACCCTAGACCCGATCACCCTGCTGCATGTGTCGAGCAGGATGGATCCGTGATGGCCCCGGGACCCGAAGCCAAGCCACCACGCCAGGTGTGAAAACACTGCAGCGCTCGGATCTCGGGGTGCTGCGACCGTCGCCGATATCCAGGCCCGCGCCTCGAGCAATCCTGCCAAGCGCCTCGAGCAGTCCTGCCAGGCAGAGGCACGGCCGCCCCCCTCGCCCTGGGCGGGGGCTCGGTGCTTGGGTACGTCGCATCCGGTCCACAGGGGAGCTCGGCCCGAGGAAGCCCAGCTGCCCAAGGCCGTGGGACGTGGAGCGCCCCGTACGTTTTTTGGCGGATTCGCGGCCCTCGCGCGCAGCGTCGGGGAGGATCAGGGCGAGCAGACGGCAAAGAGCCAACGCGCCCGGCTGGAGCGTCCGTGCACCCGATGCCGTCGCCGAGTCCGCTGGCTCCCTGGCCGACCAGACGACGCGGCGGTGCATGTTCCAGGGCTCCCGGCCCGCGGGCCCCGCCCCCCCAGATGGGACGGGTCCCGGGGAACCGCGGGCCCCCTGGCTCCACATCGAGCCGCATCGGCGATGCATCGGCGATGCATCGGCGATGCGACGCGGGCCTTGGAACAGAGTTATATATATATATACACATATATATATACACATATACCTACCTACCTACCTACCTACCTACCTACCTACCTACCTACCTACCGACCGACCGACCGACCGACCGACCGACCGACCGACCGACCTACCTACCTACCTACCTACCTACATACATACATACATACGCATGCATGCATGCATGCATGCATGCATGCATACACACAATCACACACACATATACATATATATATATATATATACATACACGAGTGTACCGGCTCGCTGCGCTTCGCCTTTACAACTTTGGTCGCATGGCGCCTGGGAATCGTTCTGGGACACATGGCCGGCAATGCTTGTCGCTGTCGTAGGGCTCATGGGAGGCCGTTGGGCCTTCGGGCGTATAGGGATCGGAGGACCCAGTGTGCATAGGGCTCAAGAGGCTTGTTTAGGCCGCAGAGGCCGTATGGCTCATAGGGCTTTGGCTTCGGAAGATGTCCCTGGCGCCTTCGGCGCCAGGGACGGGTTTGAACATCTCGGGACCTCCTTTTGGCCTTGTGGCCCTTCGCGCTGGTCTCTGGGTCCTCCAGGGGTGTTCTGGCGCCTCATGAGCTTCCATGTAGGCCTTGTGGGGTCGGGATGGCTCGGATTTCGTTGTGGTTTCGCGTTTCTTCTCTTGGGCGTTCTCGCGAGCAGTTCTTCTTGAAGCCCTCCTCGGGCAGTCTTTGAGGCCGTCTGGGCCGTCTTGCGGCTTTCTGAGCTGTCTTAGGGTGTTGCCTAGGGGTCTCTTGGGGCCGCCGTCGTTGCGGTCTTGGGGTGTTTTTTTTTTTAAACTGTCGCCGAGATTTCGGGGCGGAACGACGAGGACGCTAAAATTTATAAGAGAACAGTGAACAGTGTTGACGGTTCGCGTATCCCCACCAGCCCATCCAGAAACGATCGGGTAGTTGAGGCAATCTGGGAAGCGGGAGAGCATGCAGAATCTCAAAAGGCGAGAGAAGCCGCGAGTTGGACCAGGAGGAAGCGCGGGGAGGCGGAGGAGGAGGAGGAGGAGGAGGAGGAGGAGGAGGAGGAGGAGGAGGAGGAGGGGGAGGGACAGGAGGAGGAGGAGGAGGAGGAGGAGGAGGAGGAGGAGAGAAGAGAAGGAGCAGAAGGAGGAGGAGGAGGAGGAGGAGGAGAGAAGAGAAGGAGCAGAATGAGGAGAAAAGGGGGAGGAGGAAAAGGAGGAGGAGAAGGACGAGGGAGGAGGGAGGAGGATAAGACTAAAGAGACGGACGGGGTAGGAGAGAGGAGGGAGGAGGAAATATGAGGAGGAGCAGGCGGACGAAGAGGAAGAGGAGGCGAAGGAGGAACAGGAAGAGTAGGAGAGGGCGGGCGGAAGGGCCACAGGCCTCTCGAAGTCTCTCGGGCTGCATTTGGGAGCGCACTGCAGGATGATTGGAACGTTTTGGGGGCCTCTTGGAAAAGGTACGTAGCAGCGCGTCAGTTGATCGAACATCGTTTTGGAGGCGTTCGCGGCACGTCTCTGGATGCCTTCGTAGCACGTCGGAGGATCAAACATCCCTTTGCCCAAACCAGCGCGCGATGCATGTTTATTGAATGGCAGGGTAGCTTGTCATGCGCACGCGCGCAATGCATGGAGCGTAGTTGAATGTTTTCGCTGTTCTCCAGTATTGATTCAAAATCTCGTTTTCTTTCCTGCGTGGCGATAGTTTCGACGAGTCGAGGGTAGGGGTATTGATCGACCAGCGTGGTCGTGTGTTGGCCATGGTGTACAGGATCGAGCGGTCGATTGCGCGCGCATACCGAACCAACTGTACAGTGCTCTTCTGAATCGTTTATTGCGTGGGCAACAGGCCGAACGCAGTAAGCAATCGTCGTGGGCTTCGCAGCATTAAAGAGCCCGGCCGCCGTAACCCAAAATGTCCCCTTTGGAAACGCCTGCGTAGGAGTTCGTCTCCATATATTTAACTGCCCAGGAGCCCGTCTCCATAGATTCGAAACACAGATTTGTTTGCCACCAAATCATACAGCAGCCTGACATTATTCGACGCGTTTGCACACGCGTTTTCTTCACCTTTTGATTATATTCCGTTCGAACTTGGTGTCATAGCGAGGGAACTGATGCACCGCCCCCCAAAACCGCACCATGTGATAAGCGCAATCGTCCACGCCTGGGAACAATCGGAGACTGTTGATGGCTTGTGGAGCTGTACACTGCTTCCCTGCATAAAGAAGCAAACCATGTGATGTTTTGAAACACGTGGCTTCATGATCTGCCTGGGGCCATGCCACAACGCCCCGCACACTGGTATGACAAGATATCGGCCCCGTCCAATACGGCAAGCCCATATTTTGTTTTGAAAGCGGTTGTTTCTTGACGTCCCTTAAACAAGCGACCGCCAGCGAAATATATGATAGTTTCGCTGTTTCGCTTCATCAGATAGAACACGCACGAGCCTGGTGCATCGTATCTGGCGCGCAGCCATAGCATCAGACAATTTGGACCAGGCATGACGAACGCACTCCACAGAAAATAAACATAAAATAAATAATTCTGAAGCCGACATCATTGGGATTTTGCCAAACATCCCAAATTGAATAATAATGTGCCAAAACTGTCTGCATTTTGTTTGGTTGTGTGCCTGACGACTGGCGCCTCCTTTGGTTTCTTGCTTAGACCTGTCTGAATTACCTCGAGACTTTGGCCTTTGAAGCCGGGGACTTCCATGGCAAGGCCACTTCCTTTACCATGTGGTTAAACTGCCACAGAAGACGACCGCGAGCCTGCGAGCCAACGTCCTGGCGTGACAGGAGGTTATGGCGCTTGGTGATCATCCGGTAAACTTCCACAGCCCTCCGGGCGTCTGATTTGGCTTCACGAAAATCTTGTTCTTTTCTCTCCCAAAGTCCCACGTCCTCCTGCTAACCCATCCCTTGTGCCTGGAAGGGGGGGTTTCAGGCCAATGGGCAGCGCCCTACAAGATAGCCGAATATTGATCCGACAGGGGACTCAGGAGCCCCAGATGGCCTCCAATAAAGCTGGAGGTCGAACGACCTCCAAAAGGCGCCAAAACGATACGAAACCGTTTCCCCGGGAACCGTTTCCCCGGAACCGCTTCCCCGGGACCGTTTCCCCGGAGGACCGTTTCCCCGGAGACCTCTTGGGACCGCTTCCCCGGAGGAGCGTTTCCCCGGGACCGTTTCCCCCGTTCCGTTTCCCCGGGAACGCTTGCCTGGAACCGTTTCCCCCGATCCGTTTCCCCGGAGCCGGTTCCCCAGAACCGTTTCCCCGCAGCCGGTTCCCCTGGACCGTTTCCCCGGTGCACCGTTTCCCCGGAACCGCTTCCCCGGAACCTAGCGGGCTCGGGTCGGGCGGGCGGGACATTCAAACAGAATGCATCATCGAGTTGGCACCCGAGTACCCAAACGGGCGGGACGGGTCCGGCGGGCCGGCGGACCCGAACGGGCGGACCCAAACGGGCTCGGGTCGGGCGGGCGGGACATTCAAGTAGAATACATCATCGAATTGGCACGCGAGTACCCTGACGGGCGATGCACCATCGAGTTGGCACGCGAGTACCTTAACGGGCGAGACGGTCCCGGCGGGCGGGCGGACCCTAACGGGAAAGGTCGGGTCGGGTCGGGCGGGCCGGACATTAAAGTATGAAGTGCCATCGAGTTGGCACGCGAGTACCCTAACGGGCGGGAGGGTCCGGCGGGCGGGCGGACCCTAACGGGCGGGACGGGTCGGGTCGGGCGGGCGGACCCTAACGGGCGGGACGGGTCGGGTCGGGCGGGCAGGACATTAAAGTATGATGCGCCATCGAGTTGGCACGCGAGTATCCTAACGGGCGGGACGGGTCGGGCGGGCGGACCCTAACGGGCGGGACGGGTCGGGTCGGGCGGGCGGACCTAACGGGCGGCCGGGTCGGGTCGGGCTCGGGCGGGATATAAAAGTATGATGCATCATCGAGTGGCAGCGCATACGATACACGGCGGGGCACGGGTCGGCGAGCGGGGCGGACCCTAACGGCGGGCCGGGCGGGCCGAGGGCGGGGTCGGGTTCGGGGCGGACCCTAAAGGGCGGGACGGGTCGGGTCGGGCGTGCGGACATTCACAGGGTATGGATGCGCCTCGAGTTGCTGCTCGGGAGTACCTAACGGGCGGGTCCGTCGGGGTCGGGTCGGGTCGGGCGGGCGGGACATTAAAGTATGATGCATCATCAAGTTGGCACGCGAATGCCCTAACGGGCGGGACGGGTCCAGCGGGCGGGCGGACGGGTCGGGTCGGCCGGGGGGGCCCTCACGGGCGGGACGGGTCGGGTCGAGCGGGCGGGACACACAATAATGGTGCATCATCGAATTGGCACGCGAGAACCCTGACGGGCGGGACGGGCCCGGCGGGCGGACCCTAACAGGCGGGTCGGGTCGGGTCCGGCGGACATAAGTATGGTGCGTCATCGAGTTGGCACGCGAGTACCCTAACGGGCGTGGCGGGTCGGGCTGGCGGACCCTAACGGGCGGGACGGGTCGGGTCGGGCGGGACAATTAAAGTAGATGCATCATCGAGTTGCACGCGAAATGCACTAACGGGCGGGGACGGGTCCGGCGGGCCGGGCGGGACGGGTTCGGGTCGGCTCGGGCGGACCCCTCACGGGGCCGGGAGGGTCGGGTCGAGCGGAGGGACATAAAATAATGGTGGCATCATCGATTCGGCAAGCCGTACCCTAACGGGCGGGACGGGTCCGGCGGGCGGACCCTAACGGGCGGGTCGGGTCGGGCCGGGCGGACATTAAAGTATGGTGCGCCATCAAGTTGGCACGCGAGTACCCTAACGGGCGGGGCGGGTCCGGCGGGCGGGCGGACCCTGACGGGCGGAACGGGTCGGGCGGGCGGACCCTAACGGGCGGGACGGGTCGGGTCGGGCGCGGTCGGGTTGGGGTCGGGCGGGCGGGACATAAAGATGATGCACACCATTCGGGGAGGGTTTGGAACGCGATTACCCTGACGGGCGGGACGGGTCGGGTCGGGCCGGGCGGACCCTAACGGGCGGGACGGGTCGGGTCGGGCGTGCACGACATTAAAGAATGATGCACCATCGAGTTGGCACGCAAATACCCGAACGGGCGGGACGGGTCGGGCGGACGGACCCTAACGGGCGAGACGGGTCGGGTCGGGCGGGCGGACCCTAACGGGCGGGTCGGGTCGGGTCGGGCGGGCGCGACATTCAACCGTGATGCACCATCGAGTTGGCACGCGAGTACCCTAACGGGCGGGACGGGTCCGGCAGGCGGGCGGACCCTGACGGGCGGGACGGGTCGGGTCGGGCGGGCGGACCCTAACGGGCGGGACGGGTCGGGTCGGGCGGGCAGGACAGTACGGTATGATGCGCCATCGAGTTGGCACGCGAGTACCCTAACGGGCGGGACGGGTCGGGCGGGCGGCCCCTAACGGGCGGGACGGGTCGGGTCGGGTCGGGCAGGACGGGTCGGGTGGGTGGCCCTCGATGATGGATGAGGGAGGAGAGGGGAGGAGGAAGTAGGGAGGGATGAGGGATGTGGGGCGGGGGGACGTAGCGGCAACGAGGGATGGGGGAGGGCGGGAGGGCAGAGAGGGATGGATGAGGAGGAGGAGGAAGAAGAGGAGGAGGAGGAGCAGCAGCAGCGGCAACAGCAGCAGCAGTGTAATGAGAGAGAGTAGCAGGAGGGAATCGCCTCTGTGGAACCGTTCCTGTGGAACCGGTCCTGTGGAACCTGCAGTCCTGTGGAACCGGGCTTATGGAACCGGTTCTGTGGTACCGGTCCTGCGGAACCGGTCCTGTGGAACCGGTTCCGTGGAACTGGTTCTGCAGAACCAGTCCTGTTGAACCGGTCTTTGTTGAACCGGTCCTTGCTGAACTGGTCGTCTGTTGAACCGGTGTCTGTTGAACTGGTCGTCTGTTGAACCGGTCCCTGTTGAACCGGTCGTCTGTTGAACCGGTCTTCTTCCGCCAAAACAGCTGCACGGTTCCAGGCGCCAGTCGAGCGTTCAAAGGGTTCCAAGACTCCAAAAACCTGCAAAAACAGATGGGTCCGAGAGCACGCTGTCCGGTTCGAATCATTTCAGGGGAGTCCCGGGGGATTGCGGGGTCAGTTGCGTTTTTCCTCGGGCGGCCCCGGAAACTCGAAAAGTCCCAGAAAGAACGCAGAATGCCGAAGACGGCCTCCAAGACGGTGCGAAAGGGCCCCGAGTCGCCCGAAGATCGGCCCAAGATGCCCAAGATGGCCCGAAGACGGCCCAAGAAGCCTCCAAGACGTCCCACGGGGCTTCCAAGAGCACCCCCAAGAAGGCCCCGAGAGGCCACAATCATTGAATGGGGGAACGTACCTTTTTCGCATATACGACTTGTCGGCCATCACGGCGTTGAAGACGGTTCCAAGTTCCCCAAAAGAGGCCCCAAGAGGTCCCCAGGACGCCCCAATGAGGCCCCCCAAAACAGCCCTTTCCTCCTCCACTCCTCCTCCTCCTCCTCCTCCTCCCTCCTCCTTCCTCCTCCTCCTCCTCCTCCTCCTCCTCCTCCTCCTCCTCCTCCTCCTCCCCCTCCTCCTCACCTCCTCCTCCTCCTCCTCCTCCTCCTCCTCCTCCTCCTCTTCCTCCCCTTCCCTTGCTCCTCTTGCTCTCGCTCCTCCTCTGCCTCCTCCTCCTCCTCCCCCTCGGCGCCACGTGGTCGTATTTGCGCCCTGTGCGGCTGCGCACACCTCGCGTGATTTCGGTTTCAAAGGGCAAGGGCGACGGAGGCGACGTGTGACAGAAGTGTGCGAAAGCGCCTCGTCCGCGCAGACCTCGCGTGATTTCGGTTTGAAAGCAAGTGCGAAGGCGGCGACGTCTTGTCGAAGTGTCCGGGGGCGCGCTGTCCAGACAGTTCGAAGACATCGAAATCCAAGGGCAAAGGCAACGGAGGCGACGTGGTCACTCGAATAATTGATAGCGGGGGATTGCAAATCCCCCGTCTTTTTTTTGTCTCTCTCTCTCTCTCTTTGACCCGTGGCCTCGAAGACGGCCCCTAGAGATTTTCAATACCTCCCCAGAGAGCCGCAAGAGGGCCCCAAGACCCACCAAAGGAACTCCAAGAGAGCCCTAACAGGCAGCACGGGGATCCCAACAGGGTATATTGGAGGGGGTCTGCAATGGGAGCTGACTGGCCCATGTATGCTCAATATATCGCTGATGTATGTGATCGGGTACGATTGGCATCCAATGTTGGCGGTCATGGAGGGCTAGTCGTTCGTGCCCGCGCGTTGCCCGCGCGGGCAAACGCGCCGTCCATCCATTATCGTTCATGCGTGCAGGCGTTCTTGCATATCGCGCGTGGGGCGGCGAAGTGGAATGCAAGTGTGTCTTGATTGTGCGATTGATAATCGAGTATGTTCCCAAACCATGACTTGTCGACCCCTTTGACAGATTTGGAATGGGCCCCGCGATTTTCCCAAAATGTGCATTCACACTTTCCTTTTTCCGAATATGTGAATTCACATTCTGGCCCTTTCATGAAGATTTCCATACAAAAGTCCAAGATGCGAATTCACGCCATCCTCCTTCCCAGAGTGTGAATTCACATTTTCCTTTTCCCAACATGTGAATTCACATGTTGCTTTTCCCCACAATGTAAATTCACATGTTGCCCTGGCCCTCAAGGTCCATGTCAGATTGGCTGGGCAGATTTTGACACTCACCCCGCCGCTTTTATTCCAACCTTCTCTTCTCGCGCCCTCAGCGCACGTTGCTTTCGTCGCTTTTCCGCAGCCCCCCGACTCCTTGCTTCGTCTACCCTCAAGTCTCGCGCGCGGGTGCAGGCGGGGAGCTTCAATTGGCTCCACATCGAGCCGCATCGGCGATGCATCGGCGATGCGGCGCGATCCTCCGACCCCATCGACTCCGACCCCATCTAATTAGGAGGCCTACAGACGCACGGAGCCCCACGCATGATGAGCGCGACCTCGAAGCATCCCGGGATCTCAAGCCACTGCAGCGTTTGGGTGCCCAGGGGGAGGCAAAGGGCCCCCGGCCCCCGGAGGGGGGCGGCCAACGGCTCTCCGGCGCCCCGCCTGGGCACCCCCGGAAACGCCTCGGCGAGGCGCAGCTTCTGAGAGCACCCCGAGCGCACGGGCGCTAAGCTCTCGAGAGTATACGCCGGCCGCTATCCTGGAATCGGCGCCGGAACACTCTGCTCCGCGCCAGAGGAGCGCGCCGGAGGAGCGCGCCAGAGGCGCCGCCAGGGGCCTTGATGCAAGCGCAGATCCAAGGAAGCCGCGCGCGGGCCCCCGCAAGCTCGTGTGCCGTGCTGCTTTGTCTTGGGGGAGCCAAGAGGTACCGATATAATGGCTACTGCCCGGACCTCTCCCGGGGTGCGTTGTGACCTGATTTTTCCAAAGCGAATCCAGCGGTGGGGACGAGGGCCTCCCAGGAGGCCCAGAAAGGCGCACGCGAGGGCAGGGTAGCGGTGCAGGTGCCTTTTCCTCCTCCGAGCTGTTCTTCTTGGAGAGCGGGGATCAGAGCGGGGGGGTGAGAGGCAACATCAGCGGGGGAGGGGGAAGAGCTCAGGGGAGACCCTGGAAATCCTGTCCCGGGGCCCGGTGAAGGCCCCGGAACACCGACAGACCAAGCATCGACCGCTCTCCTCTGATTCGCTGAAGGCTCGGATCTCTACGCCTGGGCACGAAGGCGTCAGCGCGGAACCCGAAGAAAAACAAGAGCTACAGCTTCCCCCCATCCTCCTCCTCCTCCTCCTCCTCCTCCTCCTCCTCCTCCTCCTCCTCTTCCTCCTCCTCCCCCTCCTCCTCCTCCTCCTCCTCCTCCTCCTCCTCCTCCTCAGACCTCTCCTGGGGCGCGCCCTGGCCCGCCTTTCGCGGCGAGTCCAGCCGCGGTGCCGAGGGCCTCCCAGGAGGCCCTAGAGCTGATGGGCACTTGCGCTGCATCAGAAAGCGCAAGATCGCATAAGAAGGGCATGCGTCGCATAAGAAGGCCATGCGCTGATGCACGCCATGCGTCGCATAAGAAGGCCTGGACTCATCATAGAAACCACTTGGCAGGCGACACGCTGTGTCCACCTATGCGAGCGTGCTGCCAACAGCACCATGGGGACTTGCTTCCACTGTGGGTGGCGAAGCATAGCCGTGCGAGCATCGCGCGAGGAGGCGGCAGGGGCGCCGAGGCGAGGGAGGAGGGGAACACGCTGGAGTGAGCTTCTTGGGGTGCGCAAGGATGCAGGACCGCAGAGGAGGAGGAGGAGGAGGAGGAGGAGGAGGAGGAGGAGGAGGAGGAGGAGCTGATGGGCACAGGCCGCCGCGACGCCCCTGTCGCTCCACAGGAGCGCCGCGACGGGCGCGAAGGCCGCAGAGCGGGCGGCCCGAGCCCCCCCCCCACCCCCCCCAGCCCTGCGCCCTTCGGGCCCGCCCTGGGCGCCCCCCTGGGCGACTGGGGCCGCGCGGGGCCCTGTCGGGCCTGCCCCCGCGCCCCGAGCAGCTCGAGGCGGAGGCGCTTCGCGGCGCCTGGCCTAGCTGGGGCCCTCGCCGAGTCCCGGGGGGCCGCGGGCAAAACGGACTCGGGATGAGGAGCTGGCCCCAGGAAGATTGAGCAGGGACCGACCGTCCCAGCATTTCTACAGGCCTACCCCAAACATGTTCTAAGAACAAGAGCAATGTTCTTAGAACATGAACCCGATGTGTTAAAACAAGACAGACTCAGCCAGGCAGATTCTAAGAACATTTCGTGCAAACCCAAAAAGGTTCTTAGAACATTCTTTGGTATGCCTATAGGCGAGCCAGGACGCTTCGCCACTGCAAGAAGGTCCAGACCTCCGTGGGGGCCCGCATGGAGAAAGTCAAAAAAGGCAGCATCGGGGGCCTGGGCGGGGGCCACGTCCCGAGGGAAACTGCACGGCGACCAGAAAACATACATACGACGCCGTTCCTGCCGCTGGAGGGCCGCATCGCGTCGGCAAGGGGCGGCATGGGGTCGGCGCCGCGTCGGCGATGTCGCGCACCTGCCCTGGCAACAAACGGCACGCGCTCTGTTTATACGAACGCCGCCCTCCGCTTCAGGCTGCGGCGGGAAATGCGCCGGCGACCGTCTCCTCGGCCGCGGCGCTGAGCGGGCGGCCCCCCGGCAGGATCGCCTCGACGCGCCAGGCTCCGGGGCCCAGCCTGCCCGCGCGGTGCTCGGCCACGAGCTGGAGGTGGATGTCTGCGAGGCGGGCGGTGGGCGCCGCCCTGATCCTGCATCGCTCCACCCCGCCGATGGTGACGAAAACCATGGAGCCGCCATCGAGCGACACCTGCAGGAGCAGCGCTGGAAGCAAATGAGCTGTGTAGGTCAGGCCCGCGGGCAGCGCCGGGAGGTCGCACTGACCATCATCATTCCAGCCGCAGGCCACGGCGGTGCCGTCGCTCCTGAGCAGCACCGCGTGGCGCCCTCCAGCGGCGACCTGCGTGTAGGTCAGGCCCGCGGGTAGCGCCGGGAGGACGCACTGTCCATCATCATTGTCGCCGCAGGCCACGGCGGTGCCGTCGCTCCTGAGCAGCACCGTGTGGCGCCCTCCAGCGGCGACCTGCGTGTAGGTCAGGCCCGCGGGACGCGCCGGGAGGTCGCACTGACCATCAGCAATCAGGCCGCAGGCCACGGCGGTGCCGTCGCTCCTGAGCAGCACCGTGTGGCTCCCTCCAGCGGCGACCTGCGTGTAGGTCAGGCCCGCGGGCAGCGCGTGGAGGTCGCACTGACCATCAGCAATCAGGCCGCAGGCCACGGCGGTGCCGTCGCTCCTGAGCAGCACCGTGTGGCAATCTCCAGCGGCGACCTGACTGTAGGTCAGGCCCGCGGGCAGCGCCGGGAGGTCGCACCGACCATCAGCATTGCTGCCGCGGGCCACGGCGGTGCCGTCGCTCCTGAGCAGCACCGTGTGGCTCCCTCCAGCGGCGACCTGACTGTAGGTCAGGCCCGCGGGCAGCGCCGGGAGGTCGCTCTGACCAAAAGCATTCCAGCCGCGGGCCACGGCGGTGCCGTCGCTCCTGAGCAGCACCGTGTAACTCTCCAGCGCGTAGTGGTCGGGGCCAGCCCGCGGGCCAGCGCCGTGAGGTGCGGGCTGACACAAGCTTGAAGTTCCCGCGGGCCACGCGTGCACTCCCGCTCCCTGAGCAGCCCGTGTGGCATCTCCAGAGCCAGCAATCTCAGCAAACGCAATCGAGACCAGCTGGGTACCTTGTCCTCCTCTGAGCCAGCGCGGAACGCTGCAGTGGAAGCGAGGGCGCGTACGCGCGACCTGGCGCGTGCAGCTGACGCGCGGAAGCCCGGGCAGACTGCCCCGTCTCTCCCTCTCCACGGAGCCTGGGCCCCTCGAGCCGCGGTCCCGAGAGAGAGGCCCGGGGGCCTGCCCCGAGGTCCGACGCTGGAAGATAGAGGCAACATCGCAGACAGTTCGCGACCAGAGCCCGGCGGCGAGCGAGGGGCGGAAGTGAGGAGGAGGTGGCCTTCTCAGAAGGCGGCGGGATTTCTCAGAAGCCCTCGCGCCTTCCGGGAAGCTTTCTGTGCCTTCGGGGAAGGCTCAGGAAACATACCATCAGGCTGGGGGACTTCCGAACCTTTTGAGAAGGCCTCCTTCTTCTCACTTCCCCCCTCGCTCGCCGCCGGAAAATAGATGCACCATCGCAAACAGTCGCGACCAGAGCCCTGGACTTCTGTTACTCCCATCGTACTTTAGGACCATACCCAGGCAAGTATCGCCTGCCAGGGCCCGACACGTGAACACCCTCCGGTGTCGGCATTTTCATGGCGCTCGAAATTCGCTCTGGCGGTCAAGGCTGAAGTGTGTTGGAACATCTTCACCCTAGACCCGATCACCCTGCTGCATGTGTCGAGCAGGATGGATCCGTGATGGCCCCGGGACCCGAAGCCAAGCCACCACGCCAGGTGTGAAAACACTGCAGCGCTCGGATCTCGGGGTGCTGCGACCGTCGCCGATATCCAGGCCCGCGCCTCGAGCAATCCTGCCAAGCGCCTCGAGCAGTCCTGCCAGGCCAGAGGCACGGCCGCCCCCCTCGCCCTGGGAGGGGGCTCGGTGCACGTCGCCTGGTCGGCAGGGGAGCTCGGCTCGTAGACGCCCCAGCTGCCCAGGCCGTGGGACGCTGGAGCGCCCGTACGTTTTTTGGCGATCGCGGCCTCGCGCGCAGCGTCGGGGCGGAGCAGGGCGAGCAGACGGCACAGAGCCAACGCGCCCGGCTGGAGCGTCCGTGCACCCGATGCCTTCGCCGAGTCCGCTGGCTCCCTGGCCGACCAGACGACGCGGCGGTGCATGTTCCAGGGCTCCCGGCCCGCGGGCCCCGCCCCCCCAGATGGGATGGGTCCCAGGGAACCGCGGGCCCCCTGGCTCCACATCGAGCCGCATCGGCGATGCATCGGCGATGCATCGGCGATGCGACGCGGGCCTTGGAACAGAGTTATATATGTATATATACATATACATATACACATATATATACACACATACCTACCTGCCTACCTACCTACCTACCTACCTACCTACCTACATACATACATACATACATACATACATACATACATACATACACACATACACACAATCACACACACATACATATACATGTATATATATTATATATTTGTATATATATATATATATATGTCACGAGTGTACCGGCTCGCTGCGCTTCGCCTTTACAACTTTGGTCGCATGGCGCCTGGGAATCGTTCTGGGACACATGGCCGGCAATGCTTGTCGCTGTCGTAGGGTTCATGGGCGGCCGTTGGGCCTTCGGGCGTATAGGGATCGGAGGAGCCAGTGTGCATAGGGCTCAAGAGGCTTGTTTAGGCCGCAGAGGCCGTATGGCTCATAGGGCTTTGGCTTCGGAAGATGTCCCTGGCGCCTTCGGCGCCAGGGACGGGTTTGAACATCTCGGGACCTCCTTCTGGCCTTGTGGCCCTTCGCGCTGGTCTCTGGGTCCTCCATGGGGTGTTCTGGCGCCTCATGAGCCTTCATGTAGGCCTGTGGGGCTGGATGGCTCGGATTGTGGTTTCGCGTTTCTTCTCTTGGGCGTTTCTCGGAGCAGTCTTGAAGCCCTCTTCGGGCAGTCTTTGAGGCCGTCTTGTGCCGTCTTGCGGCTTTCTTGAGCTGTCTCAGGGTGTTGCCTAGGGGTCTCTTGGGCCGTCGTTGGCGGTCTTGGGGTGTGTTTTAAAATGTCGCCGAGATTCGGGGCGATGAACTCGGGTAGTTGAAGCAATCTGGCAAGCGGGAGAGCATGCAGAATCTCAAAAGGCGAGAGAAGCCGCGAGTTGGACCAGGAGGAAGCGCGGGGAGGCGGCGGAGGAGGAGGAGGAGGAGGAGGAGGAGGGGGAGGGGGAGGGGGAGGAGGAGGAGGAGGAGGAGGAGGAGGAGGAGGAGGAGGAGGAGGAGGAGGCGGCGGAGGATTAGGAGTAGGGTAGCTAGTCGAATTTTCCGTACTGCTAAAAAGTGGGGAGGAGGAAAAGAGGCGGAGTAGTCCAGCGTGATGCTGTATGCGTATCCCCTACCGATGACGGTGCCTGGTCGGATCGAGGCGGGATTCGGACCTCTGCGGACTGCCTGAGTCGGACGATAGGCCTAAGGAGTGCGAACCGTCGGACACGGCAGAGTCTGATAGGCCGGGCGGAAGGGCCACAGGCCTCTCGAAGTCTCTCGGGCTGCATTTGGGAGCGCACTGCAGGATGATTGGAACGTTTTGGGGACCTCTTGGAAAAGGTACGTAGCAGCGCGTCAGTTGATCGAACATCGTTTTGGAGGCGTTCGCGGCACGTCTCTGGATGCGTTCGTAGCACGTCGGAGGATCAAACATCTCCTTGCCCAAACCAGCGCGCGATGCATGTTTATTGAATGGCAGGGTAGCTTGTCATGCGCACGCGCGCAATGCATGGAGCGTAGTTTAATGTTTTCGCTGTTCTCCGGTATTGATTCAAAATCTCGTTTTCTTTCCTGCGTGGCGATAGTTTCGACGAGTCGAGGGTAGGGGTATTGATCGACCAGCGTGGTCGTGCGTTGGCCATGGTGTACAGGATCGAGCGGTCGATTGCGCGCGCATACCGAACCAACTGTACAGTGCTCTTCTGAATCGTTTATTGCGTGGGCAACAGGCCGAACGCAGTAAGCAATCGTCGTGGGCTTCGCAGCATTAAAGAGCCCGGCCGCCGTAACCCGAAATGTCCCCTGTGGAAACGCCTGCGTAGGAGTTCGTCTCCATATATTTAACTGCCCAGGAGCCCGTCTCCATAGATTCGAAACACAAATTTGTTTGCCACCAAATCATACAGCAGCCTGACATTATTCGACGCGTTTGCACACGCGTTTTCTTCACCTTTTGATTATATTCCGTTCGAACTTGGTGTCATAGCGAGGGAACTGATGCACCGCCCCCCAAAACCGCACCATGTGATAAGCGTAATCGTCCACGCCTGGGAACAATCGGAGACTGTTGATGGCTTGTGGAGCTGTAAACTGCTTCCCTGCATAAAGAAGCAAACCATATGATGTTTTGAAACACGTGGTTTCATGATCTGCCTGGGGCCATGCCACAACGCCCCGCACACTGGTATGACAAGATATCGGCCCCGTCCAATACGGCAAGCCCATCTTTTGTTTTGAAAGCGGTTGCTTCTTGACGTCCCTTAAACAAGCGACCGCCAGCGAAATATGTGATAGTTTCGCTGTTTCGCTTCATCAGATAGAACACGCACGAGCCTGGTGCATCGTATCTGGCGCGCAGCCATAGCATCAGTACCACAATTTGGACCAGGCATGACGAACGCACTCCACAGAAAATAAACATAAAATAAATAATTCTGAAGCCGACATCATTGGGATTTTGCCAAACATCCCAAATTGAATAGTGATGCCAAAACTGTCTGCATGTGTTGTGGTGCCTGAGACTGGCGCCTCCTTTGGGTTCTCTGCTTAGACTCTGTCTGAATACCTATAGACTTTGGCTTGAAGCCGGGAACTCCATGGCAAGGCACTGCCTTTCCCATGTGGTAAAACTGCACAGAAGATCGACCGCGAAGCCTGCGAGCCAACTTCCTGCGTGACAGGACGGTTATGGCGCTGGTGATCACGGTAACTTCCACCAGCCCTCCGGGCGTTGATGGCTTCACGAAATATTCTCTTTTCTCTCCCAAAGTCCCACATCCTCCTGCCTACCCCATCCCTTGTGCCTGGAAAGGGGGGTTAGGCCAATAGGAGCGCCCAAGATAGCCGAATATGAATCCGACAGAGCCTCAGAGAGCCCCAGATGGCCTCCAATACAGCTGGAGGTCGACGACCTCCAAAAGGCGCCAAAACGATACGAAACCGTTTCCCCGGGAACCGTTCGTTTCCCCGGAACCGCTTCCCCGGGACCGTTTCCCCGGAGGACCGTTTCCCCGGAGACCTCTTCCCCGGGGACCGCTTCCCCGGAGGAGCGTTTCCCCGGGACCGTTTACCCGGTCCGTTTCCCCGGGAACGCTTGCCCGGAACCGTTTCCCCCGATCCGTTTCCCCGGAGCCGGTTCCCCAGAACCGTTTCCCCGCAGCCGGTTCCCCTGGACCGTTTCCCCGGTGCACCGTTTCCCCGGAACCGCTTCCCCGGAACCTAACGGACTCGGGTCGGGCGGGCGGAACATTCAAACAGAATGCATCATCGAGTTGGCACGCGAGTACCCAAACGGGCGGGACGGGTCCGGCGGGCCGGCGGACCCGAACGGGCGGACCCAAACGGGCTCGGGTCGGGCGGGCGGGACATTCAAGTAGAATACATCATCGAATTGGCACGCGAGTACCCTGACGGGCGGGACGGGTCCGGCGGGCGGGCGGACCCTAACGGGCGGGACGGGTCGGGTCGGGTCGGACGGACACTAACGGTCGGGACGGGTCGGGTCGGGCGGGACATAAAGGTGATTCGCCATCGATTTGGCAACGCGAGTCCTAGCGGGGCGAGACGTCCCCGGCCCAGCGGGCGTACCCTAACGGGCGGGACTGGTCGGTCGGCGGGCGGACCCTAACGGGCGGGACTGGTCGGGTCGGGTCGGGCGGACATTAAAGTATGAGTGCCATCGATTGGCACGCGGTACCCTAAACGCGGGACGGTCCGGGGCCGTCGGACCCTACGGGCTGGGACGGGTCGGTCGGGCGGGGCGAACCCTAACGGCGGGACGGGTGGGTCGGGGATCCCAGTCTACTTATTGAGGCGCCATCTTGATTCAACCATCGAGTTGGCACGCGATAAACCCTCACGGGCGGGACGGGTCCGGCGGCCCGGCGGACCCTAACGGGCGGGACGGGTCCGGCGGGCGGGCGGACCCTAACGGGCGGGACGGGTCGGGTCGGGCTGGCGGGATATAAAAGTATGATGCATCATCGAGATGGCACGCGAATACGCTAACGGGCGGGACGGGTCTGGCGCGCGGGCGGACCCTAACGGGCGGGACGGGTCGGGTCGGGTCGGGCGGACTCTAACGGGCGGGACGGGTCGGGTCGGGCGTGCGGGACATTAAAGTGGTGCGTCCCATCGAGTTGGCACGCGAGTACCCTAACGGGCGGGTCGGGTCGGGCGGGCGGACCCTAACGGGCAGGACGGGTCGGGTCGGGCGGGCGGACCCTAACAGGCGGGTCGGGTCGGGTCGGGTGGACATTAAAGTATGGTGCGCCATCAAGTTGGCACGCGAGTACCCTAACGGGCAGGACGGGTCCGGCCGGCGGGCCGGACCCCTGACGGCACGCGGGGGTCGGGCGGCGGACCCTAAACGGGCGGGACGGTCCGGGTCGGGCGGGCGGACCCTAAGGGGCGGGTCGGGTCGGGTCGGGCGGGCGGGACATTAAAGTATGATGCACCATCGAGTTGGAACGCGAGTACCCTGACGGGCGGGACGGGCCCGGCGGGCGGACCCTGACGGGCGGGACGGGTCGGGTCGGGCGGACATTAAAGTATGGTGCGCCATCAAGTTGGCACGCGAGTACCCTAACGGGCAGGACGGGTCCGGCGGGCGGGCGGACCCTGACGGGCGGGACGGGTCGGGCGGGCGGACCCTGGGACGGGTCGGGTCGGGCGGGCGGACCCTAACGGGCGGGACGGTCGGGTCCGGTCGGGCGGGACATTACAGTATGATGTCAACCATCGAGTTGGCACGCGAGTACCCTAACGGGGGGACGGGTCCGGCGGGCGGGCGGACCCTAACGGGCGGGACAGTTCGGGTCGGGTCTTAAAGTATGGTGCGCCATCAAGTTGGCACGCGAGTACCCTAACGGGCGGGACGGGTCCGGCGGGCGGGCGGACCTTGACGGGCGGGGCGGGTCGGGCGGGCGGACCCTAACGGGCGGGACTGGTCGGGTCCGGGCGGCCGGAACCTAACGGCGGACGGGTCGGGTCGTGCGGTCGGACATTACAGTATGATTCAAACCCCTATTGGAAACGCGGAGTACCCTGACGGGCGGGACGGGCCCGGCGGGCGGACCCTAACGGGCGGGACGGGTCGGGTCGGGCGGACATTAAAGTATGGTGCGCCATCGAGTTGGCACGCGAGTACCCTAACGGGCGGGACGGGTCCGGCAGGCGGGCGGACCCTGACGGGCGGGACGGGTCGGGTCGGGCGGGCGGACCCTAACGGGCGGGACGGGTCGGGTCGGGCGGGCAGGACAGTACGGTATGATGCGCCATCGAGTTGGCACGCGAGTACCCTAACGGGCGGGACGGGTCGGGCGGGCGGCCCCTAACGGGCGGGACGGGTCGGGTCGGGTCGGGCAGGACGGGTCGGGTGGGTGGCTCTCGATGATGGATGAGGGAGGAGAGGGGAGGAGGAAGTAGGGAGGGATGAGGGATGTGGGGCGGGGGGACGTAGCGGCAACGAGGGATGGGGGAGGGCGGGAGGGCAGAGAGGGATGGATGAGGAGGAGGAGGAAGAAGAGGAGGAGGAGCAGCAGCAGCAGCAACAGCAGCAGCAGTGTAATGAGAGAGAGTAGCAGGAGGGAATCGCCTCTGTGGAACCCGTCCTGTGGAACCGGTCCTGTGGAACCTGCAGTCCTGTGGAACCGGGCTTATGGAACCGGTTCTGTGGTACCGGTCCTGCGGAACCGGTCCTGTGGAACCGGTTCCGTGGAACCGGTTCTGCGGAACCGGTCCTGTTGAACCGGTCTTTGTTGAACCGGTCCTTGCTGAACTGGTCGTCTGTTGAACCGGTGTCTGTTGAACTGGTCGTCTGTTGAACCGGTCCCTGTTGAACCGGTCGTCTGTTGAACCGGTCTTCTTCCGCCAAAACAGCTGCACGGTTCCAGGCGCCAGTCGAGCGTTGAAAGGGTTCCAAGACTCCAAAAACCTGCAAAAACCGATGGGTCCGAGAGCACGCTGTCCGGTTCGAATCATTTCAGGGGAGTCCCGGGGGATTGCGGGGTCAGATGCGTTTTTCCTCGGGCGGCCCCGGAAACTCGAAAAGTCCCAGAAAGAACGCAGAATGCCGAAGACGGCCTCCAAGACGGTGCGAAAGGGCCCCGAGTCGCCCGAAGATCGGCCCAAGATGCCCAAGATGGCCCGAAGACGGCCCAAGAAGCCTCCAAGACGTCCCGCGGGGCTTCCAAGAGCACCCCCAAGAAGGCCCCAAGAGGCCACAATCATTGAATGGGGGAACGTACCTTTTTCGCATATACGACTTGTCGGCCATCACGGCGTTGAAGACGGTTCCAAGTTCCCCAAAAGAGGCCCCAAGAGGTCCCCAGGACGCCCCAATGAGGCCCCAAAACAGCCCTTTCCTCCTCCATCTCCTCCTCCTCCTCCTCCTCCTCCTCCTCCTCTTCCTCCCCTTCCCTTGCTCCTCTTGCTCTCGCTCCTCCTCTGCCTCCTCCTCCTCCTCCCCCTCGGCGCCACGTGGTCGTATTTGCGCCCTGTGCGGCTGCGCACACCTCGCGTGATTTCGGTTTCAAAGGGCAAGGGCGACGGAGGCGACGTGTGACAGAAGTGTGCGAGAGCGCCTCGTCCGCGCAGACCTCGCGTGATTTCGGTTTGAAAGCAAGTGCGAAGGCGGCGACGTCTTGTCGAAGTGTCCGGGGGCGCGCTGTCCAGACAGTTCGAAGACATCGAAATCCAAGGGCAAAGGCAACGGAGGCGACGTGGTCACTCGAATAATTGATAGCGGGAGATTGCAAATTCCCCGTTTTTTTTGGTCTCTCTCTCTCTCTCTTTGACCCGTGGCCTCGAAGACGGCCCCTAGAGATTTTCAATACCTCCCCAGAGAGCCGCAAGAGGGCCCCAAGACCCACCAAAGGAACTCCAAGAGAGCCCTAACAGGCAGCACGGGGATCCCAACAGGGTATATTGGAGGGTGAAAGAAGGGGTCTGCAACAGGGGGTCTGCAATGGGAGCTGACTGGCCCATGTATGCTCAATATATCGCTGATGTATGTGATCGGGTACGATTGGCATCCAATGTTGGCGGTCATGGAGGGCTAGTCGTTCGTGCCCGCGCGTTGCCCGCGCGGGCAAACGCGCCGTCCATCCATTATCGTTCATGCGTGCAGGCGTTCTTGCATATCGCGCGTGGGGCGGCGAAGTGGAATGCAAGTGTGTGTCTTGATTGTGCGATTGATAATCGAGTATGTTCCCAAACCATGACTTGTCGACCCCTTTGACAGATTTGGAATGGGCCCCGCGATTTTCCCAAAATGTGCAATCACACTTTCCTTTTTCCGAATATGTGAATTCACATTCTGGCCCTTTCATAAGATTTCATACAAAGTCCAAGATGCGAATTCACCGCCATCCTCCCTTCAGAAGGTAATTCACAGTTTCCTTCTCCCAACATGGAATTCACCATGTGCTTTTCCCCCCAATGTAAATTCACATGTTGCCCTGGCCCTCAAGGTCCATGTCAGATTGGCCGGGCAGATTTTGACACTCACCCCGCCGCTTTTATTCCAACCTTCTCTTCTCGCGCCCTCAGCGCACGTTGCTTTCGTCGCTTTTCCGCAGCCCCCCGACTCCTTGCTTCGTCTACCCTCAAGTCTCGCGCGCGGGTGCAGGCGGGGAGCTTCAATTGGCTCCACATCGAGCCGCATCGGCGATGCATCGGCGATGCGGCGCGATCCTCCGACCCCATCGACTCCGACCCCATCCAGGAGGCCTACAGACGCACGGAGCCCCACGCATGATGAGCGCGACCTCGAAGCATCCCGGGATCTCAAGCCGCTGCAGCGTTTGGGCGCCCAGGGGGGAGGCAAAGGGCCCCCGGCCCCCGGAGGGGGGCGGCCAACGGCTCCCCGGCGCCCCGCCTGGGCACCCCCGGAAACGCCTCGGCGAGGCGCAGCTTCTGAGAGCACCCCGAGCGCACGGGTGCTAAGCTCTCGAGAGTATGCGCGCCGCGATCCTGGAATCGGCGCCGGAACACTCTGCTCCGCGCCAGAGGAGCGCGCCGGAGGAGCGCGCCAGAGGCGCCGCCAGGGGCCGTGATGCAAGCGCAGATCCAAGGAAGCCGCGCGCGGGCCCCCGCAAGCTCGTGTGCCGTGCTGCTTTGTCTTGGGGGAGCCAGGAGGTACCGATGTAATGGCTACTGCCCGGACCTCTCCCGGGGTGCGTTGCGACCTGATTTTTCCAAAGCGAATCCAGCGGTGGGGACGAGGGCCTCCCAGGAGGCCCAGAAAGGCGCACGCGAGGGCAGGGTAGCGGTGCAGGTGCCTTTTCCTCCTCCGAGTTGTTCTTCTTGGCGAGCGGGGATCAGAGCGGGGGGGTGAGAGGCAACATCAGCGGGGGAGGGGGAAGAGCTCAGGGGAGACCCTGGAAATCCTGTCCCGGGGCCCGGTGAAGGCCCCGGAACACCGACAGACCAAGCATCGACCGCTCTCCTCTGATTCGCTGAAGGCTCGGATCTCTACGCCTGGGCACGAAGGCGTCAGCGCGGAACCCAAAGAAAAACAAGAACTACAGCTTCCCCCCATCCTCCTCCTCCTCCTCCTCCTCCTCCTCCTCCTCCTCCTCCTCAGACCTCTCCTGGGGCGCGCCCTGGCCCGCCTTTCGCGGCGAGTCCAGCCGCGGTGCCGAGGGCCTCCCAGGAGGCCCTGGAGCTGATGGGCACTTGCGCTGCACCAGAAAGCGCAAGATCGCACGATGCACGCCATGCGTCGCATGAGAAGGCCTGGACTCATCATGGAAACCACTTGGCAGGCGACACGCTGTGTCCACCTGTGCGAGCGTGCTGCCAACAGCACCATGGGGACTTGCTTCCACTGTGGGTGGCGAAGCATAGCCGTGCGAGCATCGCGCGAGGAGGCGGCAGGGGCGCCGAGGCGAGGGAGGAGGGGAACACGCTGGAGTGAGCTTCTTGGGGTGCGCAAGGATGCAGGACCGCAGAGGAGGAGGAGGAGGAGGAGGAGGAGGAGGAGGAGGAGGAGGAGGAGGAGCTGATGGGCACAGGCCGCCGCGACGCCCCTGTCGCTCCACAGGAGCGCCGCGACGGGCGCGAAGGCCGCAGAGCGGGCGGCCCGAGCCCCCCCCCCACCCCCCCCAGCCCTGCGCCCTTCGGGCCCGCCCTGGGCGCCCCCCTGGGCGACTGGGGCCGCGCGGGGCCCTGTCGGGCCTGCCCCCGCGCCCCGAGCAGCTCGAGGCGGAGGCGCTTCGCGGCGCCTGGCCTAGCTGGGGCCCTCGCCGAGTCCCGGGGGGCCGCGGGCAAAACGGACTCGGGATGAGGAGCTGGCCCCAGGAAGATTGAGCAGGGACCGACCTTCCCAGCATTTCTATAGGCCTACCCCAAACATGTTCTAAGAACAAGAGCAATGTTCTTAGAACATGAACCCGATGTGTTAAAACAAGGCAGACTCAGCCAGACAGATTCTAAGAACATTTCGTGCAAACCCAAAAAGGTTCTTAGAACATTCTTTGGTATGCCTATAGGCGAGCCAGGACGCTTCGCCACTGCAAGAAGGTCCAGACCTCCGGGGGGGCCCGCATGGAGAAAGTCAAAAAAGGCAGCATCGGGGGCCTGGGCGGGGGCCACGTCCCGAGGGAAACTGCACGGCGACCAAAAACAACAATACAGACGCCAATTCCTACTGGCCGCTGGAGGGCCGCATCGCGTCGGCAAGGGGCGGCATGGGGTCGGCGCCGCGTCGGCGATGTCGCGCACCTGCCCTGGCAACAAACGGCACGCGCTCTGTTTATACGAGCGCCGCCCTCCGCTTCAGGCTGCGGCGGGAAATGCGCCGGCGACCGTCTCCTCGGCCGCGGCGCTGAGCGGGCGGCCCCCCGGCAGGATCGCCTCGACGCGCCAGGCTCCGGGGCCCAGCCTGCCCGCGCGGTGCACGGCACGAGCTGGGTGGATGTCCCTGCGAGGCCACCGGTGGGCGCCGCCCTGATCCTGCATCCTCAAAAAACACCCCCGCACGATGGTGACGAAAACCATGGACCGGCCATCGAGCGACACCTGAAGGAGCAGCGCTGGAAAGCAAAATGAGCTTGTGTAAGGTCAGGCGCCGCGGGCAGCGCCGGGAAAAAAAAAAAAAAAAAAAAATAAAAAAAAAAAAAAAAAAAAAAAAAAAAGAAAAAAAAAAAAGAAAAACAACAAAACAAAAGGAGGTCGCACTGACCATGATCATTCTGGCCGCAACAACAAGGCCACGTCGGGGCCGTCCCGCTCCGAGGCGCACCGTGTGGCGCCCTCCAGCGGCGACCTGCGTGTAGGTCAGGCCCGCGGGCAGCGCCGGGAGGTCGCACTGACCATGATCATTGTCGCCGCGGGCCACGGCGGTGCCGTCGCTCCTGAGCAGCACCGTGTGGCGCCCTCGAGGGGCGACCTGCGTGTAGGTCAGGCCCGCGGACAGCGCCGGGAGGTCGCTCTGACCAAAAGCATTCCAGCCGCAGGCCACGGCGGTGCCGTCGCTCCTGAGCAGCACCGTGTGGCTCCATCCAGCGGCGACCTGCGTGTAGGTCAGGCCCGCGGGCAGCGCCGGGAGGTCGCACTGACCATGATCATTGTCGCCGCGGGCCACGGCGGTGCCGTCGCTCCTGAGCATCCCAGTGTGGCCATATCCGGTGCGGCGACCTGCGTGTCTCTGTCAGGCCCGCGGGCAGCGCCGGGAGGTCGCACTGACCAAAAGCATTCCAGCCGCGGGCCACGGCGGTGCCGTCGCTCCTGAGCAGCACCGTGTGGCGATCTCCAGCGGCGACCTGCGTGTAGGTCAGGCCCGCGGGCAGCGCCGGGAGGTCGCACTGACCTAAATCATTGCTGCCGCGGGCCACGGCGGTGCCGTCGCTCCTGAGCAGCACCGTGTGGGGCCATCCAGCGGCGACCTGACTGTAGGTCAGGCCCGCGGGCAGCGCCGGGAGGTCGCACTGACCAGAATGATTGCCGCCGCGGGCCACGGCGGTGCCGTCGCTCCTGAGCAGCACCGTGTGAATCTCTCCAGCGGCCAGCATCTGCAGCAAACGGGGGAAGGGTAGCGGCGTGGGTACCTTGTCCTCCTCTGAGCCAGCGCGGAACGCTGCAGTGGAAGCGAGGGCGCGTACGCGCGACCTGGCGCGTGCAGCTGACGCGCGGATGCCCGGGCAGACTGCCCCGTCTCTCCCTCTCCACGGAGCCTGGGCCCCTCGAGCCGCGGTGCCGAGAGAGAGGCCCGGGGGCCTGCCCCGAGGTCCGGCGCTGGAAGATAGAGGCAACATCGCGGACCGTCGCGACCAGAGCCCGGCGGCGAGCGAGGGGCGGAAGTGAGGAGGAGGTGGCCTTCTCAGAAGGCGGCGGGATTTCTCAGGAGCCCTCGCGCCTTCCGGGAAGCTTTCTGTGCCTTCGGGGGAGGCTTAGGAAACATACCATAAGGCTGGGGGACTTCCGAACCTTTTGAGAAGGCCTCCTCCTTCTCACTTCCCCCCTCGCTCGCCGCCGGAAAATAGATGCACCATCGCAAACAGTCGCGACCAGAGCCCTGGACTTATGTTACTCCCATCGTACTTAAGGACCATACCCCAGAAATGTGCTGTCGAGCACCCAGGCAAGTATCGAGACAGTGTCTGCCCGACACGCTGGCGAAATGTCGAACGAATATCGCCTGCCAGGGCCCGACACGTGAACACCCTCCGGTGTCGGCATGTTCATGGCGCTCGAAATTCGCTCTGGTGGTCAAGGCTGAAGTGTGTTGGAACATCTTCACCCTAGACCCGATCACCCTGCTACATGTGTCGAGCAGGATGGATCTGTGATGGCCCCGGGGCCCGAAACCAAGCCACCACGCCAGGTGTGAAAACACTGCAGCGCTCGGATCTCGGGGTGCTGCGACTGGCGCCGATATCCAGGCCCGCGCCTCGAGCAATCCTGCCAAGCGCCTCGAGCAGTCCTGCCAGGCCAGAGGCACGGCCGCCCCCCTCGCCCTGGGAGGGGGCTCGGTGCACGTCGCCTGGTCGGCAGGGGAGCTCGGCTCGTAGACGCCCCAGCTGCCCAGGCCGTGGGATGCTGGAGCGCCCGTACTTTTTTTGGCGATCGCGGCCTCGCGCGCAGCGTCGGGGCGGAGCAGGGCGAGCAGACGGCACAGAGCCAACGCGCCCGGCTGGAGCGTCCGTGCACCCGATGCCGTCGCCGAGTCCGCTGGCTCCCTGGCCGACCAGACGACGTGGCGGTGCATGTTCCAGGGCTCCCGGCCCGCGGGCCCCGCCCCCCCAGATGGGACGGGTCCCGGGGAACCGCGGGCCCCCTGGCTCCACATCGAGCCGCATCGGCGATGCATCGGCGATGCATCGGCGATGCGACGCGGGCCTTGGAACAGAGTTATATATAAATATATATATATATACCTATATATACATACATACATACATACATACATACATACATACATACATACATACATACCTACCTACCTACCTACCTACCTACCTATCGACCTACCTACCTACCTACCTACCTACCTACCTACCTACCTACCTACCTACCTACATACACACATACACACATACACACATACACACATACATACATACATACATACATACATACATACATACATACATACATACATACACACATACACACATACATACATACATACATACATACATTCATTCATACATACATACATGCATACATACATACATACATACATACATATATACATACACACATACATGCATGCATGCATGCATGCATACATACATACATACATACATACGCATGCATACATACACACAATCACACACATACATACATACATACATACATACATACATACATACATACATACATACATACATACATACATACATACATACATACATACATACATACATACATACATACATACATACATATCTATATATACACGAATGTACCGACTCGCTGCGCTTCGCCTTTACAACTTTGGTCGCATGGCGCCTGGGAATCGTTCTGGGACACATGGCCGGCAATGCTTGTCGCTGTCGTAGGGCTCATGGGAGGCCGTTGGGCCTTCGGGCGTATAGGGATCGGAGGACCCAGTGTGCATAGGGCTCAAGAGGCTTGTTTAGGCCGCAGAGGCCGTATGGCTCATAGGGCTTTGGCTTCGGAAGATGTCCCTGGCGCCTTCGGCGCCAGGGACGGGTTTGAACATCTCGGGACCTCCTTTTGGCCTTGTGGCCCTTCGCGCTGGTCTCTGGGTCCTCCATGGGGTGTTCTGGCGCCTCATGAGCCTTCATGTAGGCCTGTGGGGCTGGATGGCTCGGATTGTGGTTTCGCGTTTCTTCTCTTGGGCGTTTCTCGGAACAGTCTTGAAGCCCTCTTCGGGCAGTCTTTGAGGCCGTCTTTGGCCGTCTTGCGGCTTTATTGAGCTGTCTTAGGGTGTTGCCTAGGGGTCTCTTGGGCCGTCGTTGGCGGTCTTGGGGTGCTGTTTTAACTGTCGCCGAGATTCGGGGCGATGAACTGACGAGGACGCTAAAATTAATGAGAGAACAGTGAACAGTGTTGACGGTTCGCGTATCCCCACCAGCCCATCCAGAAACGATCGGGTGGTTGAGGCAATCTGGGAAGCGGGAGAGCATGCAGAATCTCAAAAGGCGAGAGAAGCCGCGAGTTGGACCAGGAGGAAGCGCGGGGAGGCGGAGGAGGAGGAGGAGGAGGAGGAGGAGGAGGAGGAGGAGGAGGAGGAGGAGGGGGAGGGACAGGAGGAGGAGGAGGAGGAGGAGGAGGAGGAGGAGGAGAGAAGAGAAGGAGCAGAAGGAGGAGAAAGGGGGAGGAGGAAAAGGAGGAGGAGAAGGACGAGGGAGGAGGGAGGAGGATAATACTAAAGAGACGGACGGGGTAGGAGAGAGGAGGGAGGAGGAAATATGAGGAGGAGCAGGCGGACGAAGAGGAAGAGGAGGCGAAGGAGGAACAGGAAGAGTAGGAGAGGGCAGGCGGAAGGGCCACAGGCCTCTCGAAGTCTCTCGGGCTGCATTTGGGAGCACACTGCAAGATGATTGGAACGTTTTGGGGGCCTCTTGGAAAAGGTACGTAGCAGCGCGTCAGTTGATCGAACATCGTTTTGAAGGCGTTCGCGGCACGTCTCTGGATGCGTTCGTAGCACGTCGGAGGATCAAACATCTCTTTGCCCAAACCAGCGCGCGATGCATGTGTTTGAATTGCAGGGTAGCTTGTCATGCACACGCGCGCAATGCGTGGAGCGTAGTTTAATGTTTTCGTTGTTATCCCGTATTGATTTAAAATCTCGTTTTCTTTCCTGCGTGGCGATAGTTTCGACGAGTCGAGGGTAGGGGTATTGATCGACCAGCGTGGTCGTGTGTTGGCCATGGTGTACAGGATCGAGCGGTCGATTGCGCGCGCATACCGAACCAACTGTACAGTGCTCTTCTGAATCGTTTATTGCGTGGGCAACAGACCGAACGCAGTAAGCAATCGTCGTGGGCTTCGCAACATTAAAGAGCCCGGCCGCCGTAACCCAAAATGTCCCCTTTGGAAGCGCCTGCCTAGGAGTTCGTCTCCATATATTTAACTGCCCAGGAGCCCGTCTCCATAAATTCGAAACACAAATTTGTTTGCCACCAAATCATACAGCAGCCTGACATTATTCGACGCGTTTGCACACGCGTTTTCTTCACCTTTTGATTATATTCCGTTCGAACTTGGTTTCATCGCGAGGGAACTGATGCACCGCCCCCCAAAACCGCACCATGTGATAAGCGTAATCGTCCACGCCTGGGAACGATCGGAGACTGTTGATG